ACACACTACCCCGCAATAGCTGTCAAAGGTTTCAGTATGTTTTGAACAATTCGTGGAGCCTCTATCCATGTAGATTCTAGAGGCTTTTAAACTATATACGAAGAGTTCAAATGTTTTAAATCCGATTGTCGCAAACGAGCAGCCATTCTCTTCATAAAAAAGAAGGTGAACCTCTGAAAACTATTCAAAGAAACGCAACTAAGTTGACTTCTGGAATCGCGAATCTACTGTATGAAGAAAGACTGATTAAGCAACACTAATTTTTTCATGCTATGCAGAAGGACCAGATTTGATATGAAAGAAGTGTTTACATTACCTAATAATTAATTTAAATCTGGTATGGCTTAATTTTTCTTGTCTTTTAGAACAAAGAATTTACAAGGACACTCTAAAAAAGCCCACAAAAGTTTATTTCTTATGTGCGATACATGTCATGTTATTACCAACATGAAAACGGTTCACAGCTCCTTCTGTTCAACAACGTTTCTTATTATCTTAGAATAAGAATTTAAAAACACAAAATTCAGGTAACCGGATTAGTTTATCTGTGACAAATATCATCAAATGAGTGCAATCACATTGAGATATCAACATTAATCTCAAAGCAATTTATCACACATATAATTCCAATCACTTTTACTCTGAACATCGATTTCTCAACGAGACTCAAAGCCTAAGCTACTGATCATTTTCTGATACTTCTTCGTAGATTGAAGGATAAGTAACACAATTGGTCATATAATAAAACACTTCAAATACTTAAATAAACTTCCGAGTAATTACGTAAACAAGTGAATAAGGATACTAGTAAAACTTGAACAATAACAGTCTACGGATTTCAATCTAAGCGACAATGAATCAGCATCCTACTGCATATAGTTTAATACATATTGGGAGGAAATTTACACCGCGACTACATGGTCCGTATTCTGAAAACTAAAACTCGCGTACGTATCTGCAGTTCCGAATCACATAAAAGTAAATAAACTGAAATGTATGAAGTCATTAGGTTCGTGACTTTTCGCATCACGTTTTAGTAAGGGATAACGTGAAGTTCATACTATATAAGTGTCTACAAGGTAGCAAACTAGTCATCTGCATTTATTGCGCTACAGAGAATAATAATCGTTCAGCTGCTACCGAACAGCTGTGAGACATGGCTATCTAGTCACCTAGTTCCTCTTGCGCTAGATCTGTAGGTAGGGACGTTTCTTCACTTTCGTGTTTCCCAGCCCTTATATATCCAAATTGCATGGGGACGTAATTAGCCATAGCTTGGTTCAGTGACTTTAGATTCGCAGTTTACTGTCTTTTTGTTACCGATCGGCAGATTTTGACGTTGTCAAGGCGAAGTAGTATCACAGGTTTTTTGATCAGTAGGAGTTTCCTAACACAAAGAATAAACAATGATACACTTAGTGTATAGGCCTCAAACTATCCTTCTACAGCATAGATATCCACTAGTACTTGGTTTTGCTTCACTCCATCAAGTACTGGATTTTAAATGCAGACTTCAAATCCATTGATACATTATGTCACTATCCAATGACAAACTCTACAATCCACTTGAGTAGGGTTCCAGAAATGCCTTTTTGAGAAGAATTGTTTTTGTTATCGAGAAAGGAAGGGAACTCATTTATTAAATTCAAGCTTATTATAGCGATACCTGCGGTACCTTGTTCTGCCATTTATTTATTGAGATCCTCCACTAAAAGTGGAGTCCAAGGATTTGGATTAATGAACAATAAAAGGGAATTGATCTAACGGTAGAATCCTATGATCCTTTGCTTGAGATTCGAAGCAAATTAGAAAAACTCAGAGTAAACTCTAACATTTTTTAAAATTTCCGCACTAAATAGTTTTGTGGCTACTTCATAAAACACTCGCTAATATTCAGTTCAATTTCAGGCGAAAAATTCGATGATTTATGCTGTCGGATATTTCGAAATACCTGTAAGACTTTTATTCTCAGGATGGTTATTCTTCACCGAATGTGTTTTACGTGTAACAGCTCCTGAAAGTTTACGTTGGAATTTCGGGAAAATACAGTTTTTGAGTAGATAACTTTAATAGTATTTTTTCCAACTCGTTTTATAACCCTCATCACTGCAGAAATTCATGAAATAATTATGTAGTTGAAACCTTTCCTCTTGTTAGTCTTTTTGTTTCCAACGGCAACTTCACCAACTTCCTTCTAGTTAGAATGTAATTTACCGTTGGTAATGGAATACATTAAGAGAGCGTCAAGGGGAAGCAAGATTGGATTTTATCGAATCCGATAGGTTTGTGTAAGCTCAAACGCATAGGCTCTCGTTTGTTCTGATAAGTCCGAACTCTGCCGCCATAATTAAGTATCGACTAAAACAACATTAACACAGTTCCGGAAGAAAAATAGAAACTAAGTGGAGGCGAAAGAAAAATGAGAAATACTATAATAAAATAAAATATTACCATCTCAAATGACATCAAAAAGCCTAAAAATATGTTCAGTTAAAGAAACCAATAATAAGAAGTTGCAGATGTGTGCATGGAGGGATTTTCACAACCAAAACCTTAAAAATAGACCTTACAGGCTGAGATAGCTATTAATTGTCAGATATGTATTTATTGGAGATTAAATTGAACGGAATTTCTTAGACAGTAATTTCACAACCTTGTAAAGGCATATATGTGTTGCTGAAGAATCTAGATCATGTATGTTTTGTGCAAGTTGGACTTTCTTCGGTATATAACTGTACAAAAACCTATTATTGACCACATGGATTTCAAGAACGAGCCTGATAATTTAATCTTCTATATTTGATAATTAGGATAAATTTATTGCAAAGTTTCTTATAAGATACCTAACCCTAAATATCGTCGGGAAGAAGCTATTTGTTTGTGTTCCAGTCTGCCCATTCACATCTATTAAAGACAAGACGGTGAAATGTTACGAGGTTTTCGGTTTTAATACTAATATACATGGCTCTCTTACTTGAGCTCGAACTAGTTACTTGGATAAGAAGACGAGGTGTAAGAAAAACGTTTTATTGAGTGATCATATGATAGAAAGTGACAATTATTTGTTAGCATATTCTTTCTTTTAGGTACATGAACGCTTCACAGAATATGTAACCTGAAGATGACTTGATACAGCGGCATAAAATTACTATGACACCGTGCCTTATCAAGTTCTGTCTGCAGAAGTCTGACAAAATATTATCAAACGGAAGGGGCATCATATTTGACCATAGAAAAAAGGAAAGAAATGAGAGAGGCCTAAGGTGACTATTTAGATGACGAAATTATCGTCTTGGGTGAAACTCACAGTGAAGAAGTCGGAAAACTTGCCTAAACCTCTTCAACCAGTTACGTCCGATAAAATTAATCAGACCAGTGGCAATCAATAATTTTGTAATCTTTGTGTTAGTTGACCAGAGAAAGTCTGCTACTAATAGCAGTCTTAAAAACAAAAAAAATTAACAAATTCTAATGTTTCCGGACTCAGTAGTGAATATTTTACGTCCATGAAACTGGCGTTTAGTAGTTGGGATTAAAGATTGCGATATTTGATGCATGTTAAGTATTGAGTAACAATATTTATTATTATCGGCCGTTGAAGATATTGGACGACAAGGCTCAGAATCAATTGCACTTAAGTATATGTATTTACCTTTCGTTATAACAGCCCTTTCTTTGTGTACACGAATTGGACGTTGATTGACCTTAGACGAATATCTACACTATATTCCCTCCCAGCGTCTATTCTACAAGACTTCAACACAACTCAAATCAAGAACACGTGATTAGCCTAACTAGAACGTAAATACATTTCCACACCAAAACCCGACACAATCCAACAACAATGAACAAACAATCAATAGTAATGAGTAATAAGGATAGAGGAATATTTAAATTATCTGACACCTGTCAAATTTTCTACACGTCTGACTAAGCAGATAATCAATCATTATCGTTCTCGCCCACATATCACTTTTTGTCTTTCCTCAGATCTTCATTCCAGAAGCCATCTTATGCTCTACCGTCATTTTATACCTGTTCGTTTCTGTTACCATTGATACGGTTGCCACTTCCGGTATTATGGGGTTTGACTTAATAATTTCATCTAACACTGACACCTTGAACGGAAGCACATATGAGCTAGGGTCCACTTTGCATATGGTTGAATGACTGAATGAACAACAATTATCAACATCAATATCTTGTTACGATGGTAGACATTACTTCTTTTAAGACGTAATCGAGAGAAACTAATCAATATATTCCATTTGGACCAGTTGGAATACAGAAATCCATCTGTATTCAAAGCAGCCAAACAAAGTCAAAATATAGTTGGTAAACCCAACAAACAACGGGCTACATTTTAACAAAGAAAACACTTTTTACTGAAAATAATTTTAAAAATCTGCAGCAGATTTACCACCAATATGAGAGACTGAATAGCTTTATCGTAACTCCTCAAAATGTGAATTTGCATGTTGAGGGTTTGAATTCCATGGGGAGCATCAGTTCCCTCAAAAATACAAATAAATCATATTCATGTTTGTCGACTAGCATAGAAACATAGTTTTAGGATTTCCAAATGACTATCTCTAACCACTTAACGGTGTTAAAAATCATTGCAGACATCACATTCTGTAGTTTAAAAGCACAAGTTGTGAGCTTTTTATTTTCAGGGTAAACATGTCTTGTCTTTTATGTTATTAGGACTAACATATAAATGTGAAACAACTTCACCTTTCTTCATACAGCTTTGTTAAAACGCATGAAATATTAGTTGGACTGAAGAAAACATATATGTAACCAAATATAAGCTGATAAAGAACGTTTAAATCTTTTAGCCTACATCTAGTTATGAAGTACTTGCTGAGATTCAAAAACGCCACTACACTGTTTGCTTCTTAGATGCATAAGTGTTTCTGAATTACCAGCTGCACCTACAACTACTGTTCAGATCACGAGATTTCATCATACTGAATGACAATCAATGCTATAGGGATGTATAATCTTGCAGTTGGCTCGTCAAAGATAGCCGTGTTGAAAACAGTATAGTCTGGTAGTTTACTGATTAACAACATAAAAGTAACTGAGAAGGAGAAAATAAATTGCTAAATTAAACAGTCTAATCAAACATCTGAATAATATAACTGAAAAAAGTCTACTGACTGACTATAAAGTAGTATCTAAAATACGAATGAGGATAATACTTTTAATATGATATTGTCGTTAGATAATTCGACGGCTAATGCACAGCAACACTTCAACGACGACAACATTATACGCAATAGAATAGAAGATGAGATTTTACGAGAGCTCTTCTATTTTGAGTGAAAATATTGGCAAAGGTAAGCACCACACCATACATAATATTTTACAAGACATAATATTCATTTGCAATAAGTTTTAGCTACGTGACTAAAACATGTTACAATGATAATAAAGTTTCAAAGATCACAATAAAAATGGCTGTAGATTTAGGTTAGCCACAACATGTCATCTTCTTAAACTTTGCAGAATTCCAGGTGATTATTTTTCTTATTAAACAAATCTCTCTAGTAATATAATTAGTCACACTGTATACAAATATAATAGCATACATGGAATTCATATTTACTATGGAAAAAAGTCCTTCCGAAATTGATTTCTTAACTGTAGATTTTAGTGATGTGTTGAGTTAAAAATTATCATTCTCATTTAAGGACGAACTGGACAAAAAACGATAAACAGCAAAATATTTTCTTAAGTAATCCACATACTAAAGACTTTATATTTTGTGCTATAGGTTCATTATTGTATTTTCCTTTATGTATTGATCCATTCCTATTGGAAATTACATAGTAACCATTGATAAGTACAGAATGTGGTCAGCTTACAATGAAACATATTGAAGGAATATGCATGTAGGTTGTTTGCCGATAATATTATCGTTAATTTTGTCGTTCTCATTGTTACATAATTCATTGAAATTCAAAATAAATGTCCTTTCTTTTCAGATATTATTTTAACTTTATTTATAATATTTAAAATACATTAAATTTTCGCAAATATTTTTATCATTTCAACTCTAGTGAAAAAAATGTTCCAGAAAATTTTAGTGGAATGGAAACAAATTACCTAATCAATTATCAATCACATTAACAGATCACAGAATATTCATTCAAAAAGAAAATTGATAGGATAAACAAGAAGGAAGACAAAATGATTGTACAATAAAATTGGTTAACAAAATAAGCAAGAATTACAATTAATTAGTATGTACATCTATTCTCTATCCACTTGATTGATTGTAGAACTCTATCATCATAATCATCATCGTCATCATCAAATAAAACCTAGTAATAATAATATTTAATTTCAGGTGTCTTGTTTTTCCATGTTGATTATTTGATGTAAAGAAAACAAGTAACCTAGTAACCCAAAAATGATCTACTTCAGTTATCAGTAAATAAATAAAAAATATTTAATATTCAATTTACAATATACATTAAAACTCATAAATAATTTCAATTTTGGATTGAATCATATTCAAAACTTCTTTTTTTAAAAAAGAAGTTGTGTTAATACAATATACATATAATAATAATACAATATACACATAATAATAAATCTAGTAATAAATTATTAATTGAAAGATTGAAAACAAACAGAAGTAATTGGTTTAATACTGACAAAATAGTTTTACTCAAATTAAATCTGCATCACCTAGCGTATCTAATTCTTTGGTAATTTCATGTTTATCAGAAAGGCAATCTAATTGACTAGAAATTTTACCTTGAACAATACCGGTATTTTCTATAGATTTTCCTGATGTTTCAATAGAACTAGATAAATGTTCAGTAATTTGACTTCGTGCATCATTGAAAAGCTTTTCATTGTCTTTACCTTCTAGTAAACATACTCTAGCTGGTTCCCAAAAATCGACTTCATTTGGATAAAGTAGACTAAATATTTCTATAAATAAGTTATAAAGACAAATAATTATATAAATAATGATATAATATGAGAGAAGACATATAAATTGGTTGTAAATAAAACTGTGTATCAGTAGTAGTTAAAGTAATAATGTAAAGAAATATGAAGCGACGAATATACCTCACCTAAATACGATATATTTGTATGTATGTCGTACACATTTAGGTCACTGGAAAAGCTTACCTTATTTTCAGAACTTCATCGTCCCATTATCTAACGTCCGTCTCTCGAAATATAGATAAAATAGGTATTAAGGATCTTATCAGTACTCATGAATGAGAAACCGACTGAGTCTCAGAAAAGATACAGAGGTCTTTTTTGTGTCACTTTTAACGTACTTTACTGTCATGAAGCATAACTAATTAAGTTTGGAGAATATTTGTCCTGATGTTTGTCTACTTCGAATCACTAAGATTACTTGTATGAGATTTGATCGGAATAAGGTTTAGAGAAACTAGAGCAGTATCAGTCCGTAATGCTATCACCCGTTTTGTTCATTCATGTTACCGCATACCGAATTTCCGATGACAGTTCACGTCTGACTGACTGAGCTTGTTTTCATACTTCCTATAGTTCTATACCAATACTCAGGTCATAATTTTATGAAAAATTAAAAATCTAGTCTATAAAAAGAATGAGAATAAAACGTTGGGCCATAAAGATTTTGAAGTGAACTTTTCACAGATTTTTGCAAATGGAATTGAGGAGAATTGACGAATACGAAGTAAGTAAAGGGTCTTGAAAAACTAAGGTAGTTTCGTATTTGAAAAATATTATGTTAAAACTTAGGTAGGGGATAATATGTCAAATAAAATGGTCACTTTTAGTTCAAATCTTAAAATAGTATATCAGAATAATGTTTATGATTTGGAAACTAAAAGCCTAATTGTACCTACATTAAAGAATCTGGAAAGCATGATTAATAATTGTTTATCTAATCTGTTTTTGAAGAGGCAGTAAAATAGTATCGTCCTCATAATTCGATTCCCATATTTACGTTATATTAAATCGAAATAAAATGAGTTTGTTGAACCATGCATGTACTCGACGTTTTAAGTTAAAGAAAACATTAATCAGTTGGTCGATTGAAATATTTTGATTAGTTAATCAATTGAAACGGACTATAGATTGCAGATGAAGTTATACGTTAACGATAAACTTATTGCTATAATTTGAGTGTTGTTTTAAGGTATTTCGTTATAAATCAACCTACCTTGAGCATTTACTTCAAGTATGCGGAGATTCTGAAGACATGTTGCAACAACAGGATGCATTCCAGTTGGCCTACCTGCAACAACAGCCCCTATAGCTTCTTCGCCAAAGACATCATCACCTGGTGAACAAGTACCATGTTCTGCATAGTCACGCCTAATAAGAAATAAACAGTACAAACATAAATAAATTGTAACATTGAATAAAATAGAAAATTACTTGTAAGCTTTTATGTACGTAATAGGAATGTCATTGTTCAAATAGTTAGAAGTGATGTTTAGGAGTGTAGGAATGTAAAACACTGATTCTCATGAAAGGAGTTGAGTCAGTTAATTTAGTTTTATATGATGGAAGATGTTCCTAATCGGTCTCAATAAGGTTTGGTGTCACACTGTTAAATGGACGACAGATATACCACAACTGCATAAATGACCATTTGGATATAAAATCATACGAATATTTATAGCAAAACCACATAAATGTAACTGATTTTAATGTTGATGTCTACGGGTTTTCCTCATGTAGATAACAGGTCACTCAAACTAATGGTGAAGTTACAGACTGATCAATAAAGTCTAATCAGGACTAAGAACTACATAAAAACAACAGTGATTAATGCTCAATCATTATGAATATGACAGTCGTTCAGAAAGTCAGTTGTGTTCCGAACAGCTCAGCTGTGACGTCTCTGACTGTTACACTACGTAAACGAGGCTAGAAGTTCACAAGGAGCATCAATTCCCGTAAGGCTATAAATATCTCTTGCTGATGAAGGATAGCTTAAACGAAACCTAGATCCATAAACCTTTGATAGTTTCTTCTAATCATCTAACATCTATAAAGGCTATTCATAGAAGACTGCTGAAGGTATTCAAATGATTCACAAAGTTTTTGCACTTTAAAAAAAGTATTTTTTCTAAAATGTAGATTGGATGAAACATTTACTTTCAGTATGATTGGTTTCATGAGTTCCAAATATTCGACTTTCAAAAACCAATAATTTAGGATTCTATAGTTGAATTCATGAAGCTAGACCATTGGGTAAAACCTGAAAGCACTGGACGGGCCGTTTCGTTCTGGTATGGGACTGCTCAGCAGTCCACAATCCCACCACGCGGATTCGAACCCAGGACCTATCGGTCTCGCGTGCAAACACTGAACCTTTAGACCACTGAGCCGGCATCGAACGGTGTTAATACCTAGCTTCAACCAGTCCACGGAATCGCGCCACCGTCCACCATTGTCTTCAGTGAGTTACTATCTCACAACAGACCCGGTTGAGCTCCAATTGTTATCGCTTCTCACTAGAACTCCAGGAACTACCTCTTCAACTGACTCATGAATTCAACTATAAAATTGCTAAAATCTCCACAAAACCCCTTTCTGATAATTTAAGATTCCTTAAGTTTATTTTTATCCAAGTTACTTAGGTAACAAATTTGGTCGTAAAGAATTAGTATATGAAAACTAAGGTCATAATCATAAATATATAATTAATGAGATTAATATCAGGTCAAGAAATGTATGAACGTTTTGTTAGCTTTTAGTTAAAATATTAGCTGAAATTCGAATGCAAAAGTTTTTTTAATGATAACGTGACTATTTTACAGTTATAAAATATTGAGTATGAATGAAACATAAATTTTTCTGTCAATGGACAAGCATTAATTTATAGAAGTGGAAATAGACATTTACGAATAATCGTGGCCAATGTGTTTTAAATAATATGGGATTGGGCATGTCGGCTAGTTGATGTTTTATCCTAAAACCTGTTGACTTATTCAATAAATTCTTTTTGTTTTAATAACTAATCGGAATATTAACCTTGTTAGATGCTTTTTAGGTTGGGTACTAAAAAAAATTGTTGAACAAAGTTTTTAGACCTAATTATAAACATGTTATATTGTTTTTGTGCGTAATTACTGAGGGGAAAAATCTGAATAGAATGTATGATATCAAATGCACATAGGAGTTATCAGTCAAGAAAAAAACAGTAGAAGTCTGAAAAAGTAAAAGATCCGTATAAACTTGACATAAATGATTATATTCTTGGTGAGCTCAATCATCACATAATTAGAGTATGTTTTGTGAAAGTATATAGGATTTGATTCTTTGGCGTGTAAACGGCCTGTAGTTATGAAGAATTATTTGTGATTTTTGTATTTATGGTCAGTGTTTTACAAAACTGATTTTTCATGGAGAATATTGTTAGGAATTAGGAACTTGTCGAAATTCAAATGATGCAAACCTATAAGTACGAACTAGTTTTCATTGTAACTTTATATGTTTTATTTTAGAGATATTCATCTCCGACAAATTGCCTTAAGAACAATGATACATGTTAATAACTTTAAAAACAAGCATTTGTACTAAAAATAGGTTTACTAATCAAAAGAATGTAGCGACTAGCTACTACATTAGACAGGTTTTAAAACTTCGACATTCAAAATTATTATACTTGATGAATTTACTAGAATGAGTAGATCAGATTTACAGCTTGCTTTATTTGATGATAATACCAAGACATTGTAATCCTATTTAATAAAGATCACGAAAATAAAATCAGGTTGCTAAAAATTTTACAATGCCTGCCTAACGACTGGAAAAATATTATAACAAACTTTGTTATGAATTTATTTTAACTGACTACAAACTGTATATGCTCATATACCTTTGTAAAATGTTTGAAAATTATTGCTAGGTTGAGCACTGAAAACAAATAAAACATAACAATTCTGGCATATTATTTAATGAAATGAGTGGGGACTATATTAAACCGATGGATAAAGAAGCCAGTTACAACAAATCAACTGATAGTAAAATTTAAAAACCGGAAATAAGTGACAAGTACAAATTCTACCATTGATACCATACTACTGACACTATTTATATCACATTTATAGTTGTGTATTCAGTGGCACTTATTTTTAACTACCTATAAATATATTTATGAATTTGACATGAGTCAATGACCAGTGAACCCATGGTTTGTGCGTAATTTTATGTTGATAGTTTCTCTAAATATGTATAGAGGATAGTAAATCTAAAATAATATGGAAAGGGCAAATTAAGTAGAACCCCAACAGCTGATGAATTTTTATTCCTGTTTCAATATTATTTATCAAGGTAGACTTACGACAAAGCATGGACTGGGTTATTGATGTTATTTGCTTTAAATAATTTACCATGTTCAGTGTGGAATAAAAAAGCTCTTATTCAATTGTGATTTCTTCGTTTACAAGCAAGTTAACAAAATTCTCCTACAAATGAGGAGGAAATGATTCGTACTACATATTGTAAGGATCATTTTGTAAGGTCTGTGTTTATATAATTCTACAAAAACAAATATTTGTTAAAACTATGATAAACTTACTCAATTCGTTTTCGTAACCGAACAATTAAATTTGTTAGTTTCTCTATTTTAAACTTGACTGATTCAACTGCAATGTCAGGATAATTCTAAAAAGAACAGACGAGTTCTTTTACGTTATATACTCATCATGTATACGAAATAATTATGATTAAACACCTTCTACAAATATGCATCCATTAACTAACTGGCAGTCTATCACTAAAAAATTGATAATACACACAATGTACTTGTATACCGTTTCAACAGAAGAAGATAACTGACTGGATTCGAACAAGACGAGAATTATGCCTACATTGGATGCTTCGTTTAACAGTAGACGGAAAACAGATCAGAAACTATTTGAGGATGAACTCGCTTTAAGTTGTACATGAATAACTAAAAGATATTTCGAAGTGACAAAACACTAGATTTTCTTAGGTTAGATGGTATTGTGGTGTGGGCTAATTATATTCACATAAGTAGTGTATGTGATGGTCGGGGATAGAATGTATTTCAGCAGAAGATCAATAAGAAAAGAATGGAAATGGAACGCAATTGGTATGAAAATGCATGAACAACGAAATCAGAGACGATGGACTGATATTTGCAGAAGTAACAGTCAAGATTGAGACAGTTGATTAATAGTTCTCAGGTGTTAATGAGATATTTTGTAACTTCGTGTTCTAATACAATCGACTGTCCCCACTCCTATTCTTGTTTACTACAGTATGTGTGAGTTTTAATCAAGTAGATTTATTATCGCACCGTGGTGTCAACTAGAGAAAAGACAAAAATAAGAGGCATTTTACACGTATTTCGTCATAGTTTTGGACCAATCTGTGGTGGTCAACAAAGTAAAATAAAACCTGTAACTACCAGGTTTTGTTGCAAACATCTTTTCACCGTTAGGACTCATTGATCTTATTTCTGAATTTCAGTCAAAAGTTTATGTGAAATGACAACTATCTAATGAAACCGAATAATAACTGTCTCATTAAGTTAATGATTTGTCATTAATTGTAACTGTAACGGTTTCAAGGAGTTCGTTTTAAAAGCAGTGAAATCGCACATACACGTGGTGAATTATGGGTGAATGAATAATTGTATCTGCTGGAATTTCATCAGTTGCTGTTGGGAGCATCTACCGGAGTGGCTTAACAAGGGCCGACATACGCCAATCACACCATCAATTCCACAACATGTATTACATATTAGACAATCATTCCATAACTCATCATTCGACATTATTTACAAAATTTAGTCAAAGTTACCTAGTGGTGTACACCTTCATCTACTTTCCATTTTAGAAGCTCTGACTATCCGTTATTTGAAAGTTGAGGTGTTCACAAGAAAAATTTGTAAGATCCCTTTCTTTACGATGCTTCTAGTTTTCAGTCTTATTTGATTATTTAATTGTTTCTCCACCTCTTCATTTCCACTCCTACTTTTATAAAACGATTTTAGCATACTATAATTTACTGTCATTATTACCAAGACACAGTTTGTTTTTATTCAGATTTATTGAATACTATTTACATATTTTCATTTGAACTTGGCGATACTCAAAGCATTTTTTTGAATCTATTAATTATATACACTTAGTATTGTTTGTTTGGATCTTCCCATCGATGTGTTTAGGACTGCAACTGGTCAGTCTCTAATTGGCATATGTGCATACTGTGCGTATTGCCTCGATATACCTTAATTCACAAGCATGGTAAGCAGAGATGTATATATACTTCTAATGCTTTGCAAACTCCCTCTCCCAATAACTACTTATTTGTTAAAATTGATGTTGTCAAATTTCATTTGACTAGTCGAATGCCAACAGACATAACTATTCATTGACCTATAAGTCGTCACAAATATATGAAACTGTATAGCTTTGAAAATGAACTCCTTGAAACAGATTTCTCCGTTGAATGAATTATTCAACATAATGATATTTCAGTTTCCATCCTAACTAGCTGAACAAATGACTTATCATTCCTTAGATAGTTCACTGAATTAGTTTTAGTCAATAAATTTAGAGCGAACTAACAGTTAATGGCCTGTATTTGTTGGCATAGATCACCGATGTACTTGATATTTAGTTGAGAAAAAAAATTGTTTTCAAAAAGTCATTCGATGAATTCAAAATATTAAGCGTTTGGTGGTAGCCGACTAAAACAAAGATGACTGGCTTTCACTTAGCCGATGTTTAAAATAAAACATTCATTCAATATTTTAAAAAATTATAAGCGGAATCATCTAAATAAAATCTCTGCAAACATACCACCTCATTTTGATCAGGAGTTTTATTCTTATCAGTCGATTCAATAGAGATTAATTTAGGAGAATTCGATTGACCGACATGATTCCGTTCACGTGTGCATGACTGAGAAGCTATTCTTACTGTAGTATGACCATTAAGCTTTTGTTGATGTGTAGGTAAACGAGCGGTGACAACAGATGGAAATTGTTTATTTGCAGTTTTCTGATAATGAAAAAAAAGAATTGATACACCAAGAAACTATGCTTAATATTAAATTCATTTAGTATAGTTTGTTTGAATCTTCCCATCGATGTGTTAGGACTGCAACTGGTCAGTCTCTAATTAGCATATGTGTATACTGTGCGTATTGCCTCGATATATCTTAATTCACAAGCATGATAAGCAGAGATGGATAGTGGCTAGCAGTGAAATCCAGGACGCGCGTTTCGTCCTGTTTGGGACTCGTCAGTTGGATGTACCTGCATCTCAGAGTTGGTGTTCACTCTGGGACTCGAACCCAGTACCCTATCAGGACTCAGTGGCCGAGTGGATAACGTGATGGCGTTTGAAGCGAGGGTACTGGGTTCGAGTCCCAGAGTGAACATCAACTCTGAGATGGAGGTACATCCAGCTGACGAGTCCCAAATAGGACGAAACGCGCGTCCTGGATTTCACTGCTAGCCACAATCCATCTCTGCTTATTATGCTTAATATTTCCATAATAAAGGTAACTTAATGTCTCTAATTCAGTTTACATTAAAGTAATTGTTTACAAAACCATTACATGTGTCAGAAAATTTTGTAATGTTTATAATTACAGATTTTAGGTAGAAATTAACATAAAACTCAATTAATCAGTTTTACCCGTTAATTGTAGAATTTCGATCTTGCGATATTTGTAAACAATGTTCAAACCGTAAGTTATAAATTAATCAGTGACGGCTGTCATTCAGTTGGGTTTATTCAAAATCGATATTTAGAACTTGTTTATTCAAAACAGTTTGGGATCTATTTTTTGATGTATAATAATTCCTCATTTGTCGTCTTTACATTTTTGCTAGCATTGAAAGCTAACAGTTTTGATTTGGTTATAAGATTATCTACGTTTACATAAACATTTAATAGTAGACATCATTCTAACTGGATATTCAAAGTCATTACAAGGAGGGATGTAGTCGAATGACGAATAGTATGAATACTCTTTGCATGTAATATATTCATCTGATTAAAGACGAAACAGGTTTCATTTAATTGGAAGAACAATTTTACTGTTCGAACAATCAAAGATTATCAGAAATAATATATATTCCAAAGAATCTGAAAAATTTATTTTTAAACAAAATTTAAGCGGAACTGATAATCTCTAAGTGATTTTATTTGTTCGTCTTTTAATAGCTTTATTCAGTGTTTACATTAGTGACTCATTCTCACCAATAAATATGTTTTTCAAGCACATCAATAAAAGAATTAATTAAAATGTATTCTAGACGTATGAAATTTAAATAATGTACCTGTTTATGAACAAAAACCAAAGAATTAGTGAATAAAATGACTCTATTATCTACGTCTGTTTCTATGTGTTACCGGATAGAATGATTCACTTAACTTTGACTGAAAATTGTGAAAAAGTAAAATAATATGATTAGTTTTATAAGGCACTTTTTTCTCTAAAATTATGAGTTAGGTTTAAATAATTCCATTACAAGTTTTTAGAGGGATATAAGCCGGAGAGATACAACATAAGAACTTAAAAATCTTAGAATAAAATAATGATTGGTAAATATGGGTAGATTCTCATCAATAACTTACATTTTCATTCGAGTTTTGATGCCGACTAGAATGTTTAGATCCATCAAAAACCGAACTATTTTTGCTGGTTTGCTTAGTCTTCGAACGAGATTCAAATGTATTAGACTTCCTACCTGAAGAGATCAGTTTTGACTCAGTTTCGCAAAATTCTTGATTATGTTGATTTGTCAATCTTTGGCGATTTGAATCATTTACACAGTGGTCAGTTTTTCCGTTGCAACAGTCGACAACACCTTTTGACGTACTATTAATTTTTATTTGTTTAACAATCTCCATCGCTGCTATGCAGTCAGCTGTATCTACAGGTGCTGTTCGACGAGTAGTGACAGTTAATTTATGCTTTGGGTGAACAGAATGGCTAGTGATACAACTTTTAGGGTTGCTGTCTGTAGATATACTCATTATATCATCGTCCTTTGGCGGCCGACTTTGTGAACGAGCTAGTTGAAAATAAAAAAGTAAAATCTTGATTGATACTACTCAACATACACACTGTGAACGAATAGTAGTTCAACAACCAAAATCTTCATAAGTTTTATATTAACACAAGCACAAAAAGTTTGTAACTTTATGAGCTATCATTTCTACCTTGAGATAGAGGTTGAAGAATGCAAACAGTATTGTAGAACATTCAGTCAACTTTGAATACAATTTCAAAAATGTTTGTTTTTAGTGACTGAGTAACTATATCAAAAGGCAGACAAATTAATTTAGTCGAGGTGAGACCAAAGTTGCAATATAATGTCACTCAGTAACCTTCACACATTATATCTGTATCCAAGAATCGATCTGGGTACTAAACCTATCGTAAACCGTATTCTGCGTTAATCAAGTAGCGAACTTAACAAGTTTCACTTAGAAATTAACTATTTTTTAATACTAAGACAGGAATTTAGGTGTGAGAGGGAAATACGGTTTTCTTTCTTTTATACTTGCGATGTAAGTAGAATCTAAATACAACTGAAACGTAACCAACAAGGTTGGTTCGTATTTTAACATTACTGTCAAATATTGTAGGACAGACGTTCTTGATGTCCGACTGAAATAAAAGCCGGATGGTGTTTTTTACAGAGATCTATATATAGAAAACAGACCTGGAATGGAAAGTATACGAATTTCCATAGCTGGGTTCCACTGAGTAGAAAGAGGAACTTAATTCACTTTTTATCCTTAGGGACCAGGTGAATATGTTCTACTGACACAATAGATGAAGAACTATTTCAACTTCGACAGACTCTCTTGGGAATGGTTATCCACCTCTATTCGTCGACAGCAACTTAACACCTAGACATTATCTTGGAAAAGCACCAGCATTACAAAGGAAAACCCTTTTGATGAATATGGAATTTAAAGGCGATACGGCTGCTGAAATCTTATTTGGTTATTATTGACTTTTGAAATCATTGTTTTGTAATTTTAAACTCTAATCAGTTATTATTATTACCTTATGCAAGTTTTCTTGATTATTGTTCAGTTTATATCATTATGACCTTTATGTTTGTCGCTTTTCTTCATATATCTGTCAATTGTACAGTTATCTGACCCCTAAATTATTTCCATCCTTACATTCCTTACCCCTTTATTACTGTTTAACCTCATGTGATATTTAGTTTCGAATCAATTTATGGGTACAGATACACAAGCCGTTATAGGATTACCTTCGTCTTAACATATAAGACGTTTGACAGGAAAATATTTTTGGTTTTAGAGAAATACAGTTGAAATTTATTTGCTTATACGTAATTGCTGTATTTCTAATCTCTACGTTACCAACTAATTCAATGATACAAAAACATTTAACAATATAATCATGAGCATTAATTTGAAAATAAATGCATCTGTTATCAGTATTTTGAACAGGCTCATTTTTACTGAGAGAAGGATGTAATTATCACTAATAAGGACCATATAATTACACAAGAATATCTTGATTGTAATAATATTTGTAGTTAAGGAAGCTATAATCACAGAAAATAAAACCAAGGATGTGGTTACTTTATCAGCTAAAAAACAGAATCTGCGTTCAAACAGGTTTAATTCTATAAGCTTAGGTGAAATAAATACATTTGTTTACAAAACTCCAGTACGAATCAAACAGAACCAGTTGAGTATTATCACGATGATTTGCAGTTCAGTATTCTAAGAAAATCTTGATTGTGTTAAGATGTGACAGTTTAATATATACACTCTCAATCTATGCTAAACATTTGATTCATAACATTTCTATAATGTATAAGAACTCTCGTCTAAATTAGAACGAATAGTTGGATTTAATTTAATTAAAAAAATTCATTCGCTGAGATTTTACAAATATATTATTCCTATTTAATATTTCTATAATGTATTGATCGTAAACATTTATTTGACTCTCTCCCTCCCTCCCTCCATATATATATATATATATATATATATATATATATATATATCATGGAGCCCGGTCATATATCTACGTATATAAGAACATGAATCTTAATGTTTGAATAACAGCATTACATATGGTGCTTAACAGGTACTGGTGTTTTGATTAGCAGTTTTAAGAACGGGTGAGAATATTACATAGGTTTTTGATCATTTCGTCATTTATAGTAAGTGATGCCATTAAACTCAGTGTTGGTAAATGTAGGCAGAAGATAAACGTAACAACATGCAAAATAAATGTTTAATAATAAAGAAAACATCAGTCACAGCATAAAATATGATACTGTTTTTTAAAAACTTAATATTAGACTTTATTTATCTTAAAATTATGTTGTTTGCTCAAGTACATAATAAGAACTGTAGTTTGATAAAGGACTTCGAAAGTAGATAAACTCGAAGGATAATTTTAAATGACTTCAGATGGATCAACGAGCAGGCCCAACTCATCCCAATATTGAAAATTTATATGTCTCAAATCTGTCTCAAGCAGATAAATCTTAAGATCTAAATGCCACCAACAGAAAGAAATGGACACAAATCTCCCCCCTGCTTCTCCTTTCGCAGGAACTGGATAACTTTCGATCACAATTAGTTTAATTTGATTACATGAAAACGACAAATGCAGAGAGAACTAAATTTTTCAGACATGGATTCATGCTTAACATATAGTTATTTTTCTCTAACTTGTTTAAAAACATTGACTTTCGCATTTATTATCATACAATCTTATCATAATGTATCTAATAAGTGATTTAACTTCTCATATCATTTTATTATTCTTGAATATATTTAGTTATTGTGATTGAATGGAATATATTAAGATTCTACGTTTATTTCAGTATTTTAAACCTCATTTAGTACTTATTTTAAAGTCTTATAAAAGTTAGATAAGTAGTTCGAATCATGATATTGAATAAATAAAGTTTAAAATTTGATTGGGACATATTAACTATGTAATTTGTTGTCTTTAAGTACCTTTTTTGATAACGTTAGTACTAATAAAGCACGTTTTTTAAAACTACAATCAAAAGTGTTGGTGTTCTTTTAAACTCACTATTAAATTTAAGTTCAAAGCATTAAGTGCATTTGAAAAAAAAAAGTAACTGATAAGTTAAAAGATAATTGGAAATACTAAGCTCCGATAAATACTTGCAAATATCATATCTGCAAATTGGGGGAAATCAATTTATTCAGAGTAGTAATTAATCATATTAGAATATAACAGTTTCAAGTTTAAATTAACTCCGCCTGTAGCTCCTCCAGGGGCTACTGCCGGTCCCAAGCCCGGGTAAAGGAGGAGGGTTGGGCATGGGGTTAGCGACCCCATCCCGTAGAAAATCAACTCGCTAAAAAAACGCTAACCAGAAAAATTCATTCAAACCATTCAAACTCTGCCCTGGGAGTAGAAGGAAAAATGACGTCTCATGATGAAAGCCGAGTTCCTTCGGAAGTCATGAGGCCGATGCACCTTCTTACAACCAGAGCGACAATTTTTATAGGTACATGGAATGTCCGGACAATGTGGGAGACCGGCAGAGTCTTCCAAATTTCTGCGGAAATGAGGAAATACAACCTGGAAGTGCTTGGAATCAGTGAAACACATTGGACGCAGGTTGGACAACAACGACTGTCTTCAGGGGAACTTCTGTTATACTCCGGTCATGAAGAAGAAAATGCCCCACATACACAAGGAGTGGCACTGATGCTGTCTAGAAAAGCACAAAATGCACTTATAGGATGGGAATCTCATGGACCGAGGATCATCAAAGCCTCCTTCAGAACAAAGAGAGAGGGCATTACAATGAACATCATCCAATGCTATGCGCCGACCAACGACTACGATGAAGACGCTAAAAACCAATTCTACGATAGGCTGCAGTCAATCTTCGAGAAGTGCCCAACCAAGGACCTGACCATTCTAATGGGAGATTTCAATGCCAAGGTTGGAAAGGACAACACTGGATACGAAGACGTCATGGGACAACATGGACTGGGAGGAAGGAACGAAAACGGTGAGAGATTTGCAAACCTATGTGCCTTCAATAAACTGGTCATAGGTGGCACCATATTCCCACACAAAAACATACACAAAGCCACTTGGATTTCACCGGATCACACTACACAGAATCAAATCGACCATGTCTGCATCAACAAAAAGTTCAGGAGGACGATGGAGGATGTGAGAACCAGGAGAGGAGCTGATATAGCATCCGATCACCATTTGCTGGTCGCCAAGATGAAACTAAAACTCAAGAAGCAGTGGACAATTGGGCGGACAACATCACAAAAGTTTAACACAGCCTTTCTTCGAGATGCTGACAAACTCAACGAATTTAACATAGCCCTCAGCAACAGGTTCCAGGCCTTTCATAACCTACTCAATGAAGAGGGAACCACCATAGAGAGCAGCTGGAAAGGTATCAAGGAGGCAATCGTTTCAACATGTCAGGAGGTTCTGGGCCAAAAGAAGCACCATCACAAGGAATGAATCACTGTTGGTACACTGGATAAAATTGAAGCAAGGAGGAACAAGAAGGTAGCAATCAATATCAGCCGAACAAGAGCAGAAAAAGCCAAGGCACAAGCCGAATACACAGAGGCAAACAAGCAAGTGAAGAGGAGCATCAGGACCGACCGACGTAAATATGTGGAAGATTTAGCAACGACAGCGGAAAAGGCTGCAAGAGAGGGAAACATGAAACAACTGTATGATACAACAAAGAAACTTGCTGGAAATTACCGTCAACCAGAAAGACCAGTGAAAAACAAGGAAGGCAAAGTAATCAACGATATTGAAGAACAACGAAACAGGTGGGTAGAACACTTCAAAGAACTCTTGAATCGACCAGCTCCACTGAACCCACCCAACATCGAAGCAGCACCCACAGACCTACCAATCGATATTGGCCCACCAACAATTGAAGAGATCAGCATGGCCATTAGACAAATCAAGAGTGGCAAAGCAGCGGGACCAGACAACATCCCGGCAGAGGCACTGAAAGCAAATGTAACAGCAACTGCCAAGATACTACACATCCTCTTCAGTAAGATTTGGGACGAAGAACAAGTACCAACAGACTGGAAAAAAGGACTTCTCATCAAGATACCAAAGAAAGGCGATCTGAGCAAGTGCGACAACTACAGAGGCATCACTCTCCTCTCAATACCAGGAAAAGTCTTCAACCGAGTATTGTTAAACAGGATGAAGGATTCCGTGGACGCCCAACTTCGAGATCAACAAGCTGGATTTCGTAAGGATAGATCGTGCACAGATCAAATCGCAACTCTACGTATCATTGTGGAACAATCAATCGAATGGAATTCATCACTGTACATCAACTTCATCGACTACGAGAAGGCATTTGATAGCGTGGACAGGACGACACTGTGGAAGATTCTTCGACACTACGGTGTGCCTGAGAAGATAGTAAATATCATACGGAACGCCTATGATGGACTAAACTGCCAAATCGTCCACGGAGGACAACTCACCGACTCGTTTAAAGTAAAGACTGGTGTTAGGCAAGGTTGCCTACTCTCACCTTTTCTCTTTCTCCTGGTGATCGACTGGATCATGAAGACGTCAACATCTGGAGGAATGCACGGGATACAGTGGACAGGCAGGATGCAGCTTGACGATTTAGACTTCGCGGATGATCTGGCTCTTCTACCACAAACGCAACAACAAATGCAGGAGAAAACGACCAGTGTAGCAGCAGCCTCAGCAGCAGTAGGTCTCAATATAAACAAAGGGAAAAGCAAGACTCTCCGATACAATACAATATGCACCAATCAAATTACACTTGACGGAGAAGCTTTGGAGGATGTGGAAATCTTTACATATCTGGGCAGCATCATTGATGAACACGGTGGATCAGATGCAGATGTGAGGGCGCGGATCGGCAAAGCAAGAGCAGCATATTTACAACTGAAAAACATCTGGAGCTCAAAACAATTGTCAACCAACACCAAGGTTAGAATTTTCAATACAAATGTCAAGACAGTTCTTCTGTATGGGGCAGAGACGTGGAGAACTACGAAAGCCATTATCCAGAAGATACAAGTGTTTATTAACAGCTGTCTACGCAAGATACTTCGGATCCGATGGCCAGACACTATCAGCAACAAGTTACTGTGGGAGAGCACAAACCAGATTCCAGCGGAGGAAGAAATCAGGAAGAAGCGCTGGAAGTGGATTGGGCACACTTTGAGGAAATCACCCAATTGTGTCACAAGACAAGCCCTCACATGGAATCCTGAAGGTCGAAGGAGAAGAGGAAGACCAAAGAACACATTACGCCGAGAAATAGAGACAGACATGAGAAGAATGAACAAGAACTGGAAAGAACTAGAAAAGAAGGCCCAGGACAGAGTGGGTTGGAGAAAGCTGGTCGGCGGCCTATGCTCCATTGGGAGTAACAGGCGTAAGTAAGTAAGTAAGTAAGTTTAAATTGAAATAAATCTCCGTAAAGATTCCGATAAAGAGTGTGATTAACTTAACATTAGCATAAAACATTTATGACGAAAAGCCACTCACCAAACACCCCAAACTATCAAACGATATTTGTAAGGTGAAGTCTTGTATAATTATTTAGACTGATGGTAACATTCGAAACAGTTATTAGAGTTTAGTCAGAACTAATAGCCAGAAAGCAAACTGTTGACAATTCCACGGTACTTGATTAGTGAACGTTTAATGGCTTATTCTTTTGACTATTATGGTTATCGCTTTGTTTACTTATAAGTTAGAACAATGTAATTTACTTCTGTGACAGTTAAAGTATTCAGAGAAAGGTTTTTACAATACAAGGGAACACAAACGATGTGTTTGGAAATTTTTCTGTAAAGAATCAGCTATTCTATTTCAGATAAGAAATAAATCCCCAAATATGAAATAACCTACGGATTTATATTAAGAATAATTGCGTTAAACAAAGCACCCAAGGAAATAGTTGCTAATCATATATAATCATACGCACAAGAATAACCTATTTACGAGCAATGGAAGCTAAAGGGTTTATTCAGCAGTACAAATGGAAGTCAGAGAATGAGAATCGAGACTCTAAAGAAGAGACTAAACTTCGGATTTTGTAATCATTAAGTCATAAATCTAAAGAGATGTTATGTAATAATTGAACAATATACTTCAACAAATCACAAAAATATGTTATAAAATAAAATATAGCAGTATAATAAACCTGTAGAATTTCCACTTGATTTATTAAGAAACTGTTTTGGATCATAGGATTTACGACGTTGCCAGTTGAGAGCAGCTAACATTTTGCTTGTCTTTATAGCATCTACGCCTAGATGTTTTGAACTTTCAGGTGTAGATGATATTGATGAATGATTATGAGAAATACCATAACGATCAATGTTGACTGTTTTCTGAGAAAAGAACGATTTTGTAGATTTTTCTACGGAGTTTGGAAAGTTAGATGAATTATGCGATAATCTACTGTAAGTAAAATTGAACAAACATTATAAAATGTTTTCAGATAGAATAATGTTAGTAAAACACTATTTATTTATTCCCTATGTTCATTGATAAAATAAGTGAAGTAGCTGAATGATCACTTATAATATCTTACTGAGCAGCTAATTTATTACAGTTGTCCTATAGAACAACAATTTAATGAAGTAACTGAAAGATAATTAGTTTTCTGCCCAACAGGATATAGTAACGTGTTCTCATAACAAGTGGTGATTCAGGCAAATTATTCTAAACAGCGTAAATTCCGATTAGTGAATTGAAGTCAATTTATAAAAACTCAGTTAAAACCTATTAGTACATTACTGAAAAATCTGTTAGAACAATGGGACCTTGACTTTAACACATAAAGTATTGACGTAATTAACAATTCTCGACAAAAGAAACGATAATTTAATTTTTTAACAGTATATAATTCTTGATTTCTCAAAAGCTTTTGAGAACAACATCAGTGTAGTTGCAAATACTGTTAGTTTAAAGGTAAAATGAGAAATAAAGTATTCTGGTGCTTGTCCCTATATCTACAAATAACGAGTTATATATAGAACCTAAATACACCAGTTATTTCCAAAAAAACATTTGGTATTTTTCCACATTACAGTACTCCAAACAAAAACTGAAGTATTCAAATCTGAAAACAGTGGGAGTGATTTTTCACCTGGATGAATACAGATATACAGGCGTGATAAAAATGTCGAAATATAAACGCGTTTACTAAATGATTTATTTGTTGTTATAAATTCAAAACCTTATCGCATACAAAATGAATTGGATAATTTCACACATTATAACTTTAAAAAAGACAAACATCAGCCTGTCAAGCACTGATTCATATCAATATCTAAATCGATTATCGGTGTAATATATGGGACTGATTAAACTAATGACCATCCTGTAATGAGTTACGAACAAAGGATCTTCAGTATAAATGCAGTTTCACTAAAGAAATCATGGAGTTTGACTTAAAATAAATTATTCCTTATAGGAAATCAGTCTCTGTTAGAAAACGTTTGAAATGATGTTGATCTAGATCGATATTTTCTTCTTCTAACTGTTATTGCCATTTTTCATGTCAAATCATTTTCGCTTCCTAATGGTAAATAATTCTGTGATGTTTTAAGATGACATTTGGATTCGCAGCACACATCAAAATATAAAGAAGATAGATGAATGGTCAGAGTTTTGATTCCTTTTAGTAATGTACGAATATCCACTACATCATAAAACCTGAATGTGTCTTGCATAAATCCAAGAATACCTTATCGAAGTGTTCTCGACAGATTTTTCATTCGTACTGAGTTTTCGAAAACCATTTATGATGAATTTAGTCCAAACTCTTAAGAATATTAATATAAATATTAAGTTTATCTAGATTTCTGAATAATAGGAGCAAAACCATGAAAATGATGCTCATAAAATGCTGAAGAGAGTACGAACCCAAATTCTACATAACATTTTCTAAAATCTTTTACATCTAATAAATTGTTTATTTTACTTTTTTGATTTTTATTCAAGTTCCTTGAAGCAACACTTAAAATTTTAGCAGAAAATTAGTTTAAAAACTTTACAAAAGAAATTGTATTATTAGCTATGCTGAAATAAACACCATTTTAGGGATAAAATTTAAAGCTCACTTTGAGTGATTACGACGCGTCTCGGATGCATTTCTCGACGGTATAGAAGGTTGCTCACAAGGAGGTGCATGAGAGTTTTTCGTACATCGAGACGTTGGTTGTTGAGATTGTGGCCGAGTTGCCACCACAGAGTGAGCTGTTCTACGTGACCTATTACTTTTCTCTTCAGGAATCCCATTAAATCCATTCAACATTCTTTTCGCCTGTTCCACACCTGAGGTGTAAGCTTTTTGTCTGTCTTGTCGTCGTTGGAGAATGGCTGACAAACGTTTATTAACAGTCGATCCAAGCAATTGATCAGCATTGTTTAATGCTTTTGCTACTTCGTAATCTTCAGCGGAACACATCATCTCATTCTGTTTAACAGTCCATTGTTTTTGAGAAATCGCTTTTTCAGACTTATCATTTGTCATTTTTTGCTCCAGTTGCTAGTGGTTTCAGTTTAAGTGGGTTGGAATTAATTAAATTAAAAACAACAATGAGTACATTATGTAAATTATTTATTTATATGTGATTAATTTAGTCTATGAATAGACATGTTAAATAATAGATCCATAGGCAAACTGTTTAATTACGTATCCATAAATAAGTAGAATTAATACTACATGATGTAATAATAGATTGATTTTTTCTTCAGTCCGGACTGAATAGTTTTCAAATACTGAATTGACTTGTAAACATTTTAAATAATGACCTTGGTTGTTATAAAGCTCGCACGAATTTCTGTGGTTTATTTATTCTGTCAGACAGATTGATTGATCATCATACCAACGCTCAAGAAAAATTGTTTTCATATTAAGAAAAACTTTGTTCAGTACAAATTTGATGATTTCTAAGATTATAACATAAATTCTATCAAGACTTATTACAAGAAACCTATGATAACAGCTCTGCTGTCATAACGTGATAGTTTTCAACCAATCTACCCGATATTGTCAAGACAGATGATACATGGTTCATACAATAATAAATAATGTGTACAGCTTGTAGTGTTTAGTATCATGCCAAGCCAACATGGGTAATTCTAGCTTCTGGACAGACCAATTTTTTCATTTTTCACTCGCCTTCTCTGCTCCTCTTTGTATTGTCGCTTTTCTTCCTAAACGTTTGTCTGGATAAACGAGTGCTAGAAATAAATTTATCCATTGCGACCCGTATTTGGCTTCTTATTAGCGCTGTCACACAAACGGGGTTCACCACGTAATATGTGGAGTTAAATTGAAGAGTTTTATTCATAGCATCATCGTACGATCTAACTACAGCCACAAAAAGCAAACAACGTATCAGTTTATTACAACCTTGTGATTATATTTATTCAGTTAATTTGGCAGTCTTATTTTGAATTTATTCTGGTGCATTGGTGATAAGCTTCCATCAAACTAATGGTATAAAGTTGCTAACCTTTTCCTTGCTAAAGAGATTTGTATTTTTAGATACATTCCTTGCATATCAGTATACATTTAATTAACACTCATATTTTAAATAGACGAAATTCTGTATTTTCCTTTTTATACAGGTTGACTATTGTGTTGTAACCAGTACAGTAAAAATTAAAAATTAATCATGAAAAGTCATTTAACAAGATTGTTTAAAACATACTGTAACTAATTTTTGTGTATCAAACAAATAATCGTCCAATTCTTCAAGTGACAATAAGTCATTCATTTTTAATGGATGATGTGATGACTTCTTTTCTTTGATTGAACCACAATTATTACTATTAGTCTTCAAGTACAAATCTGAATTCGGTACAACAGAATGAGGTAGGCGGGGCCTAGTGAAAGTTCCGTTACTAGTTGAATAGTCAGTTGTGTCGTGAATACGCGAACCTATCGTGAAAATGACATTAAACTGTTTTCAAGAAATTGAAAATGTATTTGGTAAAGTAGATAAATTATTAATAAAATTATAAAACAACTTAGCTTACTATTGCATTTCCGTAAAATGCAAAATATCATGTTTAATTATATCACATATCTACTTTAGACTTCTATTTTTTTAATACATCGGATAAATCACACTCAATCGATCTCGCAATGTCCAGAAACAGCTAATTCAATTACTTAATACATATTGAAATCCAAACAAAATTCTAAAGTAAATAGTATGTAAAATGATCCAAAAAAACTAGTGTTCCACTTGTCGCGCAACTGAATATTAACAAAGGATAAAAAACGATTTCAGGTCCTTTTGAAACCAAGAAGTTTTAATCAAAGACTTAAAAAGATTTTAGTGTTTGTACATTACTCAGTCCGTCACTAAAAGAAAGTAACTCATGAAATTTTATCTAAAAACTCATTGAACGGTAGTGCAATAAATTTTAAATGTTTAAATGATATATTTAAAGCCACGTTTTCGAGTAAAATAGACATTTGAAATTAAAAATCAAAGTTACGTAAAGTCACTCACCTGAATTCGATGCCGAATTGTTAGAAATTGCGGAGTGATAACTTCCCTCTATTTGTTCAAGACCCAATTTTCTGTCCAAATATTCGGATGGACTTTCCATAATATAAGTATGTCTACTACTTTCTGTACTACTACTGCTACCACTTAAGTTCTGAGTAGAATTCTGAATATCAAAATTTAGTAAAGAGTGGTCATCAAGAGATTCATCATCTGATGAATCGTGAAAAAGTTCCTGTAGACCCTCAGCAGCACTAATTAATAGATTTTGAGGTACTTTTGTCCAACTTTTGTTAGGAAAAATAGTTTTTGAATATTTCTTGTTTACTATGGAATTTTTTCCGGCTGCTGGATAGTGTTTCAGCTTCCTGAGTGAATCCAAGTTGGCTCTATTCAATGTTTTATGTCTGTAATTAACTTTGAACTGGTCCTTCTCAAAAAGTCGACTAACTGAATATTTGAGGTGATTAGATATATCAGACGTCGAGTCAGTTTTATTATATACAAATAATTTCTGTTGTTTATTTGAGATGACTTCGGTAAACGAATCTTGTGGTGCGATAGTTCTGTCTGATAAAGCTGTTCTTTGTTGAAATTCTATGAAGCAATAAAATGTAGGAATATGTGATGTGTATATCAGATCTTAGGAAATTTTAATGAGTATCTTTTATTGTGTTTCGCTGTCCGTTAAAAAGTCGATATTTCAGAAAAAGAAAAATTATTTTTCATACTGTAAATTTGCCAAAGTAAACGATGTTGAAAAAGCTTCCGGGAGAATTTCAAATAGTTAGTTAATATCAAGAGTGTATAACTTGAACATTTAACCGAAATGGATTACTGAAGAACGAATTGTAATTAAAAATGATTATCGTATCCATTAATCTGGATATTCACAAATTCCGGTTTGTAAATTCCTACCCGGTGATCAACTTTTTTTTAAGTTAAGAAGGCATTCAGAGTTGCTACTTACTACATAGTAATAGAAAATTATGAACTTTTGTAAAGCAACAACCCTAAAACAAATAAATTCAAAGTGTCATACTATAACTTGGCTGGTTTACCGATACTTCTAAACAAATATATATATCATTGTTGAAAGCGTGAGTCAATTGAAGCTAGACCACCATGGAAAACCTGGAAACACTGGACGGCCGTTTCGTCCTATTATAGGACTCCTCAGCAGTGCGCATCCACGAACCTGATTTCGAGAAGTATATCTAGGAGCTCTAGTGAGAAGCAGTGACCAGTGGAGTTCAAAACCACGTCTGTTGTGAGATAGGAACTCACTGAAGACAATTGGTGAATGGTTGCTCAACTTCGTGGATCAGTTGAAGTTAGACATTAACACCGTTGGATGCCAGCTCAGTGGTCTATCGGTTAAGGGCTTCGGCTCGAGACTGGTAGGTCCTGGGTTCGAATCTCGCTCGCGAGAGCAGGTTCGTGGATGCGCACTGCTGAGGAGTCCCATAATAGGACGAAACGGCCGTCCAGTGTTTCCAGGTTTTCCATGGTGGTCTAGCTTCAATTGACTCACGCTTTCAACAATGATAAATACTAAATCTCCACAAAACCCCTTCTATAATAAATATATATATCACTACAATTTTAGTTAATAACGTAAAAATTACAATTCGCTTGTCATATTTATTAATGGACAGTAAATATATAATAATTTTATATTTACTCAATTGTATTTTGTATAACCTATTACCTATCAACTTGTATTTGAAATGTATTTATTATAAAGGATAAGTAATCAAAACGACCATTTGAATTTCATTTCAGATTAAAATTCAATCATGCAAACATTTCAATATAATACGGACCAACGATATACATCAAATAACCTCATGACAATATTCAGTTTAAAAATGACCAACTTTAGATAAAAAAAACTTTAAAACTTAAACCAACAATGACAACTAACCTATTTCATTTGATACATTATTATCATCTGACTGATACCAAATAGGAACAGAAGGATTTACAGATAAAGTTGATAACCGTGCAGAAATATCACTTAATCCTTTACGTATTTGTTCAGAAACCTCTATGTTTTCTACTTGGTTTACATCAATTGAATTATCTTCATTAATTGAGTTGTTCTGGCATGATTCTGATTTCCTCTGCCGAGCGTTAACTTCTATAGACAATGTTTTCTGATATAATAGAAACAGTGAGAAATAACTTCAAAAATTATAGATAATGTCGATCAATATTTTCATGAATAATGTCATAATCATTATATTCATCACTTAAATACACAAGATTTAAATTATTTTAGTTAAAAGACGTCCAGTACTGCTCTCTCGCACTGTCATAGAATATCATTAAAAATAACCAGTGAATGTCGATCGATTAAACCAAATGCACAAAAATACATAGATGCACAAACACTGGTTAACTCAGTTAACAACTGTAGTGTCATATTTTAAGGGTCATTTCGAAAGTTTCAGTGTTAATTTAATCGATTAGATATAAGAACAAATCAAGTTTCTCAGTTTTGATAAATTATGCAGGTTAAAGGGGTTTATAAGTTAAATATGTGGGTTTGTAAGAACATTTAGACTAGTCAATTTACAAAAATCTATCTTACTTTATGAATTAGCTTTATAAAGTCTATTTCGATCGCTAACAAAACACAGACATGTGCAATAATTTAAATATGTAAATACATGTACATATTTTCAGTAAGAATTCTATAGAATTGTACTGATGTTTATTGATAGACAAAATCAGAAAGGTTAGATGTCAGTTGAATCAAATAAAACTAATTAAATTTAAATATATGAACGAGAACAATTTTGACTGATATTTGATATGAAATAGATACTAGCTAGTGTTGTGATGTATTCTTTTTTAGTAATCATGCTTGATCTGACCATATATATATGCGGCATTAAAAAGTCGGTTGATAAGCATGAGAGTTTCCATACCGATAATTTGAAAAAAATTAAATCAATGAATGTGAATAAGATTTATTTTCATAACAAGGATCAAGATGACATCCTCGCCTTCAACTAGAAATATGTTTTGTTGAGAAATAAAATAGGTTTGTTAGTTGACTAATAAACAGTAACCGTGCTGTAGAATAATGTTAATCAGTTCTTTCACTATACTAATTGACAGACATAAAGAGTAAGGTAAAGACCAGCACTGACCTCTGAAACGAAAATTTTACTGGAAATTTATATTTCTCTTTGAAAGGGAATGGATGAATCTCCGAAGCTAAGTCAAATTAAAATGATATCGCTTTTTATCATGCAAAGTAAAAGCAATAAGCATTCCACTCGATACCATGAAACCTACGCTGTTACAATTTCTTTAAACGACATATATTACCAGACAATTACGAATTACGGAAAATGATAAAACCATAAAATCTATTGAATTATAATCCATTACGTTTCGCTATTCGAGAGAACTTAACACAAATCTTAAATTCATGAACGATCAAAATCACTTCTCTAATCTTATAGGTTATCCCGATGAATGCAGAATATGGTGCAGTTACATCAAGAAATAAATATTAAATAAGTGATCACTAATGAAGACTAAAATTACAAGTTTCTAAGCTTTAGTTGATTCTATTAGCTTGGTCAAATTTTATAGGTAATAGCCAAATATAGTAACTAACTGTCCATTGATGAATAGTTAGAATATTTGAAAACAACGAGAGAAATTCATTGAATCATTAAACCAAATGACATTTCAGCGGATAAAGTTTTCTTACCAATAATATCAATTACTAGAGCTGTATGTTCGTATTTATAGATATTTTAGTGCCTAAAAGTCACTCAGAACTTAAAGGTACATTATAGTCCAATGATAATAAAAATTAAATAAAATATAAAAACCTGGTATTAAAGGTGATCACTGAAACGCCTTCATTTTATTAAAATATTTATTATTTGAACAAAATACTTAAGTTTAGTCATCAGTAGTGAATATGAGTTGAGGTAAATTTTCTAGGTGGTGTTTTGTTCTCTGAGCTGGATGGTTTGCTCATGGTGTTTTCATTGCTGTTCTGTACATCATCATCACCACAAACTTTGGGTAGAGGTGACATGTTCGAATTTCTCCACATATAACTCACAACTTGTTCAGTCGACCTTCATCTTGATTGGTTATTATTTAACTTTGAACTGTCACTGTTTGTATCTTCATTTTGGTTGTATCTTCCTTTAATTTCATTCTTAGTCCTACAGTTGTCCATGATTTTTCTGATTGTTTGTTAAATTGGATAGACTTTGATGTGTTTATTGATCGCTAATCGATCTGAGTGTCAAGCTTCTAAAAATTCCTTGGTGTTTTTAGTGTTTTCTATACCCAAGATTCCAACATTTTTCTCAGTCGAATGTTTGTATACAGTTGTTCATGTGTATTGATGCAATCGAAGATACATCATGTTGTTAGAACTCTAGTTGATGTTTCTGCAGACGAAGACGAAGGGGGCGTTCACTTTGTCCAATCTAGTGTTTTTCGCAGTTGGGTGATGTTCGATTTTTCTTGTTTTATCATTTCGTCCTTTGATTTGCATAAGATTGATTGAAGTGGTTTTGTTGATTTGTGTGCTACGCTTATTCCAAAAGGCTTCAACAATTTCGTTGTAATGTCTGAGATGCTTTTTATATATTGTAGACTGATCCCTTTGTTGGTTTCTGTACTTTATTTTGTTTCTGCTGATGCGCTTGGTTGATATTTTTTGGTGAAGTTGACTGTGTAGCAGTTTTTTGAAAGATAGTCTTCAGATATTTTTACTCATTTTTGCGCACTGCAAGTGTGTTGCAGTATGTCCTCACTCTCTTGAACAAAGTTTGTACGCAGTTGATTTTGTGAACTCGTGGATTTTGCTAATGTAATTGAGAATTTGATCTGTGTGGATCAACTTCCGATATACTTCACTTTCCAGTTTTCCTGTCTTGTTTCTGGTGAATAATACTTAAAAAACGGTAGTTTGTTGTTTGAATCCTGTTCTATTGTGAACTTGATATCATCAACGACATCGTTGATCAAATTTTAGGTGTTTTCCAGCTCGTCCTTTCTGAAGATTACGAATGTGTAGTCCATAAAACAAATTCAAATGTTTGGCTTGATCACTGGCAAGATCGAGGCTTCAACTCTCTCCATCACTGCTTCTGCAATAAGTCCTGATATTGTTGATCCCATCGGTGTTCCTTTCGTTTGTTCATAGATTTTGTCGTTCAACTGAAAATATGTTGTTTAGCATAACTTGACGAGTTCTAGTAAGCCTTCACTTTGAAGCATCGTGTACTCGGAGAGATTTGCATCGTTGGTGAGAAGCAGGGATAGAGTTTTCTTTGCTAAGCTTGGTTCAACTGAGGTGACTAAGATTGTTACATCGATAGATATCATCAATTTGTCGTTGCTGATCTAAGTCTCCTTGATATTATCCAATAATTGTATGGGAGATTCGATGGAGCGATTGGATAGATCCACTAAATGTTTCAATATTCTTGAAATTTCTCTCGATAAATTGTATGTTGAGGTTCTGGGGAGTGATACAATTGGACGTAGTGGGATGTTTGGTTAGTGTATTTTCAACCAACCATAGAATTGAAGGGTACTAGTCTAGTGGATTTCATCATTCATTGGTCTTGCCTCGATATTTGACCTGCCTTGGCAAGTTTGACTAGCTGCCTAGGCGAGACTAAACTATAATGCCGACATTTGGACGAATCCGAAATGACCTTGAGAAGTATTGGCCAATCAGAAGACAGTTAGTATACAGTGAAATATATAATACAAAACTCAAAAATTAAAAAGGAATTATACTTAGGGTTTTCATCATGAACTGACATCAGCTATAATGCCAAAACTGTATTTATCCAAATGGATAATTGAATTTCACGCCAAAATCTTATGATCACTTCTCTTGTAGACGCTGATTTATCACGTCTTCCCTAAAATCCGCTGTAAACCGATCGTACGTAAGCATCAGGTACCGAAATTAGCGCCGTGACCTTGAAAACCCGCGAAAGCTTCTGGTTGGCAGTATAGTTTAGTCTCGCCGCTGCCTAAATTGTTCAATGACTCATTCTCTCTCCTATATATATATTCATCTTAAGCTCTATTCGATCACTTTCTGGTATTTGTTCGCGTTCATTTGCTTTCGCATTCCTGTTCATGTTTGCTTCGTGTGCTTGTGGGTTTGTGATGTCAGTTTCACAATTACAAGTAGTTGTCACCACTTGTATTGTCTTCTAAAATTTTTGCACAGTTATCAGGACGAGTGATATACGAAGCATAGGAATTATCTCGAAGAAATCTCACCATAAAAGAACGGCTGAATATTTAAAATACGATTCTAAGTACACCATTCCCTCCCCACCTAATGCAAATACCTAAATAATGAGTCTTTGGTTAGATATTAACAATAACTTATTGTAACTAAATAAACTGATAGATCTTATGCTTAATTAGAGAAAAATGTTTTTTGTCAAGTGTGCAATAAAAATTGTAAATAAATAAACCATATCATTTAAGAAATCTTAATCCTTTCAGAAATATTACCTAAGATAAATAGCGAGACTAAAATAATAAATACAACCCTCACATAAAATGATTTCGTCAGATGTAACTATGAATACTAGTTAATGTTTGATAATCGGTCTAATAAGAAATTATACTTAATCCACTATATTATATAGAAAAACTTTCCTTATACATGCATTACAATGTGTTGTATTAATATTTTGCTCAAAAACTTTACTCATTTTATTTTCAGAAATCAGTTAATCAAACTGAAACAAATTATTCAAGCCCATATAGGGAACTAATTTTGATAGAAATAATGTTCAGTAACTATTTTCTTTCCTTATTACAAATATGTTAAGAAAAACAGCAAATAATGTGTTTTATTGTTTTGATGGATTCTTATCAGCTTCTTACAGAATAAAATGGTGGGAAACTAAATTTATGTCAAATAGTTTTTTTTAATGTAAAGGAATATATCAATCGAAAATAATGGAGACAACAGTACAAGAGAAATGATAATGAAATAAAATGATCAACAACAAATTAAGCCTTTTCAGTTCTAATTACATACGACGAAATACTGGAAATTTGCTTAAGTTCAACTAACTTTCTTTGCTTTTTATGATAACAAATAAAATATAAATGGCAAAAATTGTAATTT